ATTCGGCTGACGTGCACCGATTCTGCGTATGCATCGTAGTGAACAGGCGAAGGAAGGAAGGCGCAAAAGAGTCCAGTTTTCTTTTAAAAGTTCTATAGCAAATAATTTTTTTGGGCTCCCTATTTTTGTGTTTTTGTGTTTCTTTTCACACCTTTTACGACGTGCGGTGGATGAAACTCGATTTTAAAATCATTTCATGGTCCCTTTAAGAATTTTGCGAGCTTTATTGTAATCGCGAGCATAAACGGCTTGACATCTAGTTTCTGCTGCGCCTAACTTTTTTTTTAACATATCGGTATGAGCTTGTACAAATATCTTGGAACTTTGTATCTGACTGAAGATGTGTACAACAGACAATTTGAAAGCAAAATATTGCACCCGAACAAAAGCAGCCACGCATCTTTTTAAGTCGCAGCCAGAAACGATCTGGATCATCACACCTTTTTAGTACTTCCCCCGCTCGAACTGTGATCAGGAAGCGCTTAAGTTTCTGCACTCCATCCAGTAACATCGTTGCAACATTCTGAAGGGCGACATGTCGTCGATTTCAGATGTCTGTCTGTTGCTTTGCCCGGCCTCATCCATGTCGCCCGTCCGAGCCTGTCCGACGCAATGCGTTTTCGAAGCATTTCCGTTCTTTGACGCAATGCGCCGATAAACCGAGGAAGAGGAGGGGAAACGAGAGCGCGTGGGAACGTTCAGAACGCCGAGCTCTGGTTGGTAGGATTAGTGGGTAGACCTTGGGCTAGCTCCATAGGCCTGCTGCACTTGGCCAGGGGGCGCGAGCGCTTCCACAAGACGCGACCATGTAATGTTGGTTTCGGCGTCTGCAAGACGCGGCCAAAAAGGTGGCGTTGTATCGTTAGAACATGCACTAGCCACGAGCAGATCCTAGCGTCTGCTAACGTCTCTTCATTCGCGTAAAATAAAAAAGTACAGTCATAGCCTCCTATATATGGACAAAGCATGGCATCGCCACGAGAAACGGCCGCCGAAATGGAAAAGGTGGAGCGGCAGACAACGGATGACAGGATGGATGGATGGATGAATCCGGTTGAGCCCTTCGGATCGGGCGGTAGCTTACGCCACCTAGCCTAGGAGAGCCACATGACTGGCGCCCCGCTGCGGCGAGACGCCGAAACACACTTCTCCCAAGCGAACAAGTGTGCTTCGGGTCCTCGCCGCTTCAAAAGCTGTGCGCTGACGTCCAGGTTCCCCGAGAAATGGCCCTTTGGTGCTCTGTGCTACCAGATCCTCGGGCTAAAAATCTGCGACCGGGCACTCTATGGCTCCGTCGTCGAACTGCCAGGCTTTGTGTGTATAGAGGAGGCTATGGAAGTATCCATTCCTTTCAGCTGTTTTGCTAATGTTTTCTTTCATAGCGCCCTTCAGCAACGAGAGGAAGCTTAAGAACAGCGCCCAATCGAAACGCGACCCAAAAATATTCGATTTCGCTCGCGGGGGGGCGCCGCTCAAAAACTTGACAGCTACAGGCCTATGCGTCGCGACGCTTCTTTTGTTGTGTGTGTAAGATAACATAATGTTCCTGTCTCATCAAACGCTCTGTGCAAAAAGCTGCATATACATTTGTGTTGGACGATGGGCGGCAATTTATGCCGCATACAGTGTAACGAATAAGGGAAAACGGAGTGGCCGTTTTTTCGTAAATAACTTCCACAAAGACGGGAGCGATAACGGAAAAAAGTGATAAAAATAAGACCTTATTTCCCAATTATTAGCCGACTGCCGAATAGACGCCGTCATCATGTCTATAGCTAACACCGTGTCTTTTGTCGGATGAATGAAAAGAGTGACTGGCTTTACAGTGTAAGGAACATGTCCCTACACCGTAGGGAAACATTTCCCTACGCTGTAGGGAAATGTTTTCTACACTGGTATTGCAGCACGCAAGACCAGAATCAAGGGTCTTGGGCAGCATCGCGAGAGTATATTTCAGAAATACATTGTTTTTTTATATCTCTGTATCGCGATACAATTTTTCAAAGTGTATATTTTGAACTTCTTGTATCCAAATACGATTTCGGGTGTATTCCTGGTATCAGGATACTATAAGAAACAATGTATTTCGGTAAATATATATTTTTTTTTATGAATTGGTGATTTCTAGACCGAAAGTCAAGGTCAAGTTTCGTCCAGGACGTTTTTGTGTCGCTGACCGCTCATCACTCCCTTCTTTATCGTGCAAAAGTCAACACATGTTTTCCCGTACTTTTGGTGACCTACTATTCCTGTAGATTCCAAAAGTTGAAGGCTTTTTCGGCGCGCCCAACTACCAAATAAAAGGATTACGAGTACCTTGAACATTGTTCGACGGTGGCGTTGTAAGGTCACCGCTGAAAGATGCACCCGCATTGGGAATAATCGTAGTAACTTCTCGGCGTCATTTGGGAGGACGCAAAATTGATTCAGAGGTAAGAGATAATATAATAAAATAGGTAAGATAAGAAAAGATAAGAGATGCCGAAATAAAACCGCGCACAAGCCAAGGTGAAAAAACAAACAAAAAAACACTCGTTTGTTTTCCTTATTACTTTTCAAAATGCAAGATGTTAATTCTGTGCTAAATTTGATTCTAGCAAAACACGCCAACGTCAAAATTCAGGCTCAATTTTGCATTAATTACTCGTTTGCTAGTTTAAAAACAAAATCTCGTATTCCAAAACATACTTCGTTTTCTTTCTTTCTTTCTTTTTTTCGCATGCGTGAAGAGGTGCACCAAAACATCTACAATAATGTCGAAGAAATCCCTGGAGAAGGGGAACAAGAGGAACAAAGGACAAACACAAATCTTCGTCATTCTTGTCCAGCTGGCTTGCACCTTTGCATTTAATCGCATTATTACAATACTGTTATTTTTCATATATAACAAAGTTTCGTAGTGTCTGTGTTTCTGCCCCACAAAAATGTATTCAAGTATTTGTATTTTAAAATACTTTTTCCGTTTTTTAATCGTATTTCTGATAACTATCCCTATACATTCTCATAAATGTATTTTGGTATCAGTATTTTAGCTGTTTTTGTAGTTCCAAATACGTTTGAGGGTAGTTCCACTCAAATCTGCAGGAAACCAATCGTACTCCTATTGAAAATAGTCTCTTTTAAAAAAATGAGCCGTTTTTTAGTCTCTGAAGCTTTTACAACTTTATATCCTCGACGGTTGGGGGTGCGGGATGGCGCTGCTAGATTTCGTTCACAAAGCGAGCGCCTATACGTGTCTACAACGTCGGCAGGTGGCACAGCGCCGCGTCTTCGCAATTGATCGGAGGCACTTACGTATACCTGGTGCCGTGACTGGACCGTTTTTGCGATCACAACTTCCGTTCGAGCGCAAATTGGCCAAGGCGGCGAATTTGTCGCGGATTTTGCGGAGGGAGTCCCGCCTCGTGGCGTGACAAAGGCTCGTCCAACTCAAAGTCGCGCCCAATCTTCTTCTTCTATCCGTTCACCACCTAACCTGACAGTGCGGTGGAAGTTACGTCGTCATTGGACCAGTGGTACATTGATCCTTCAGCACGCAATCCCGCTCCCGTCCACATCCACGCACAGAGGAGCCGGGTTAGGTTATTAAAGGGGAGGCGGCCGATTGGTCCGGCCAGCACGTATAACTTCCGTCGCACTGTCGGCTAAGGATCGAACGACGTTCGAGTATATGGCCCTTCGTCTTGCACCGTGCACTAAACCAGATTGGTTCCGCAATCATGTTTACTGTACACTGTAAACTATAAGGATGATAGCTCTAAAATAATAAAAAAAAAATATGACGGCGTTATTTGTGTTTTTTTTTTTTTTTTTCGGTGAAATAGTCATTTTGTAACCTTTTTATTTCCAGAGAATACTACTGATATTTATGGGCATAATTGTAGACAATTGTGCCATCATGTGTAGATGGTACGGCGAACACGGTACGTGCCTTTTGTAATGATGTACGAGCATGTCTGACTGCCGTATTACTGGCGCTAGTGGGACACGAGATGGACCAAACCAAATTGTTGTGTGTATGTTTATACAGCCGGAAGTTAGTCTTCCTCAGTGGGCGTCTGGTGTCTTAGCTGTAGATGAGCAATTTAGCCAGTTCGGTGCAACCGCTAGCATGGGGTCTTTAACATGCACCGCGCTGTAGTAATACACGATTGCACGCCGGTCATCCCGATCGAAACGGGCAGGGGTGGGGATTGAGCCCAGGATCCCTGGGTTCTGCGGTGCGAGCTTTCGCTCCACGTGCTCCGAGCTGGTGGGCGCTAGGGACCGAAGCGTATACTTGTTATCTACACTCATTGTCACGTGGCGTACGAAACGCGCTCGTCTTGATAAAATAACGTAGAGCTAACCTGAAATGCACTTACAACGCGGTTAAAGTTGCGCAAAAAATAAATAAATACAGGGACAGAGGAGAGAAACACGTAGGCGATATACAAGACAGACAACAAGACAAAAAAACAGGGACATACATATGGTATACGTCGAGATACATCGATGTATATACCATATAGAGGGCTACATTGGTCATGCTTCGCGGGGAGCCAAATTCTTTTTTAATGCGAATGCATTGACCGCCTCACTGAGCAAAGCCGGCGAAAAACGGCAACTAAATTCCCTTCGGCTGGACTTTGTCTGTAACAGCGAAACGAGCAATAAATTCCCATTGGCTGCGACGCGTCATATCAGGTGCTTCGTCACGGAAGTCGGCGGGGGGCTAAAGGTCAAAGCGGACGCGCTTCAGAAATAAAGCAAAGAAAAGCACAGCAACGCAGATGCATCGTCACGGAAGTTGTGGAGCCGGCGGGGTTCGCCCGCGCCTGCGAATTGGGGGAACGTGATGTCCCCACGGGGCGCCGCGTGTGAAAAAGAAAGCCGTGGCGCGCTGCCGCGTAGGAATGCTCTCGCATTCCTACACGTGAGCAGTCTTTTGTTTTCGCACTATTCTTGAGGCGATCCAACGCTGCCAGCCGGTGACTAATTGTATTTCTTAATTTGCGCAGGACGGTCGTCCGCTGAGCCTGGGCGCCCTCCGCGGCGTGCCCATGGTGGCCAGCAGCCCCGTGCGGCACGAGGGCAGCGCCAGCCCCCAGCCGCTCGAGGTGCACGCGTACCAACCTCCGTGGAAGGCGCTCGCAGAGTACGCCATGCACCCGCAGGACGTGGACCCGTCCACGCCACACTTCCAGCACCTCGTCAACCAGGTACGCAAGGGGCCGAATCGGATGGATGGATGCATACGGCTGAACCCTGGAAATAGGGCGTCGGCTTGCGCCACCTAGCCAATGCTTTTAGTATCACGCAAGGCTGAATCGGATAGATGAATGCATAGTGCTGAACCCTGAAAATTGGGCGTCGGCTTGCGCCACCTAGCCAGTGCTTTTAATATCACGCAAGGTTGAATCGGATCATCATCATCATCATCATTTATTATTCCTTGAAGGCCCAGGGGGCATTATACAAGGGAGTGAACACTTAAAAAAAAAAGTAACAAAACTATTTATCTACAAAAACACGTTGTTATCTAGTTATGGGTTAGAAAAAATAAGCTAACGGCTGCAGAAAATTTCTTAGTATCAGATAAGGAAGCTGAAGTGGCCACCTTGTGCGCGTCTTTGCGTGTGGCTCGCTTTCTGTGAGCCACATCGCCATCGCGGACACCTAGTTGCTACAAAGCAATTACGTCAGGCAGTGAGTTCCAGTCGTCAATGGCCAATGGTAAAGTAGACATTTGGTGAGTGACGGTTGACGATGAAATCGGACGGAGTTTAGAAGAATGGTCGAGACGAGGGAAAATGCGGTAAGGAGGTGATAACAAACTTTGTCTGAGATGACTTTTGTAATAAAAGATAAAAGATGGATGCATAAATAGGGCTGTACCCTGGAAATAGGGCAGCGGCTTGCGCCACCTAGACAATAATTTGAGTATTAACCGTTTTAGAAAAAAAAATTATCAACCGTTAAAAAAAAGTGACGTTCGTGTTTATACTTTCTGCTAGACTCGCGTCTTTAAAGGGGCCATGAAACAATTTTTCGACTTTCGCTAAACACTACTCAGAATCACCCCCTAACGTTAATAACCGAATAAACTTGCCTTAGTTTTTTTTTTTCTTTCTAAGCGAGGACAGTCGCCAAATAAATCCGAGAAATGTGAGCATCCTTCGTCCCCTCTACTCGGAGCCAGAACAAGCTGCTGCGTGGCTTGTTGCCTATCCGCCAACGTTAATCATAGCCACGCGCTGGGGTCGGGAAAGTGGAAAACGCACGCCGAACTCCAGACATTGTTAGAGTTCGGCTAATTTTATCACCGCAGTGGTGGGACACGAGCCACTACCCGAGTATCCGCCGAGGCATTGATCGTTACGAGCCAAAGTCGAGTGCTCGCGCAAATCCCGTGTTCAATCCACGAGCCGCGCTGGACTGTCGTCAGGCGGGTGGTTTCGATCCCACAATTACGTGATCAAGCCTTACGAAGGCAAGACTGAGAGAAGCCTCCTTTTATTCTGGCAATTTCACTGCGACAAAGAAGCTTCTGGATTATGTAGCGGTCTGTGCGAGTATATACTTGGACCACACTAGGACCGGTACGCATCTGTAAAGTCCTGAACCCATAGAGTTATTATAATATACGCTAGAGGTTCAGGTGGCGCTAATGTGCTGACGCAAATTGAAGCAGACAGCAACCAGTCCAAAATTGACTTCCGGTAATGCATTTCTATGGGAAAAAGTGAGTGCATCTTCTCTCTGCGATCGATTATAAGAGCAAATATCCCAAAGAATTCGTACGTACTAGGTAGCTTGGAACATTTCTCAGTCAGACTCACGAAATAATTGGTCAGTTACGGCGTTTTTCTTTCAAATTCAACGCATTAAAAACGGTGCTAAAACGGCTTCGTACGTGTATTTATGTGCACTGTCGGACACTGTTAGCGCGAACACGACGTCGGCGCTTTTTAGCGTGGGGGATTTACGTGCCAAACGAACGAAGAACATCTGGAAATTAAGAAAGACGGCAAGAACTACGCAGTTACACTGAATCAGTAACTACACGTGCATGTACGATCAAAATAAATTGAAGGCCACGTAATCTATTCCGATTTTAAATAAGTGAGTACCGCTTTATGCTTTCTGCTCTGAGCGAAGCTGCTTGTTGTGCGCTTAAAATATCACCCGCACGCTCGAAATCTTTGAGAGCAAGTGCCCGATAAAAGCTGCCCGGCAGAGAAAACAACACGAAGAGAGACCTTTCATAACCCACGGACTTTATTATCTACGTTTTAAAAGCTTTTATCCGCTCATGTACGACGGGGTCATTTTCATATAGTGACAGGACTAGCGTATTGTCAATATATAAGCGTCACCGGAATGCTGGTGAGTCTTGAAGACATTCTATATTCCTTTCGATTGTAATTTTGCTTCGAATCGTCGCTTGTTTTAACACACTACTGCGGAACACACGTTTGGGACTGAAATGTAGTGAAGTTAAACATCGTTCACTGATGAAGAAAAATGCGCTAACTAAAGCAATTACATTACAGTGTCAATCAAGGTACATGCTATTCGATACGACCCAAATAACCAAAGTGTTCCGTGTTATTTTTCGGCAAAGAGGCAAAAAATGCACGTGCGTTTTCCCATAGGAATGCACAGGAGCACCGCAAAAGTAGACTGGTTGCTGTCTGCTTCAATTTGCGTCACGGAAGTCCCATAGACACTAGCGCCAGTTGAACCTCTAGCGTACATTATAATAACTCTATGCCTGAACCTTCCAACCCCGTGTCTTTTCATGACCCTTTTAACGAGCATCACGGAATAGTGATACACGACCGCACGCCGGTACGATGCTCATCCAGATCGAAACGGGCAGGGGTGGGGACTGAAGCCAGGATTCCTGGGTTCTTTAGCAGGAGCTTTGGCTCCACGAGCTCCGATCGCTGCCTTACGTTCACAAGATAAGGTGTTAAGAAACGTGCGTGGAAATATACTGATATATAGGGTGTCGCAAGTCAACAAGCTCCATATAAAATGGACCGTAAAAATCGACGCCTGCACCTATAGCAATCTGAACTTTTCGTAGATGGTGTATTTCACAGGTCGGTTTTTTCTTCTGAAATTAAAAAGCGTAGCTTTCTTTCAGTAAAAATTAGGGCCAAGAAACTTGCCCGGCTCAACGGTGGGCGGTGACGCAGACGACAAAGTCGAGTTGCGGGGCGCGTTTGGCGCTGGTATTGATATAGATGGCGCTATCTTTTTATGAAAATTGCTCGCAACTTACGTGTTTTATTAAAATGAACTTATTTTTGTAATGTACATTTGGTTTAAAAACAATTGCGGACAATAAAATCAAAACTTAAAGTAAAAGAAAAAAAAACGCGTTTGCATAACGACGGCGCTTTTGCTACCAACGGATTCCGTCTGCGTGTCGTCAGCTGCTTTCTTTCGCTGGTATAGGCTACTTCTTCCGACGCAGCTCCCGCCGCCACCTATCAATACGCGCGCGAAACGCGCTCCGCAACTCGGCTTGGTCGTCTGCGTCGCCGGTCGCCGTTGACCCTGGAAAGATTTTTGGCCTTATATTTTTACAGAAAGGGAGCTACGCTTTGTAATTTTACATGAAAAAACCGTCCTGTGAAGTACACATTTGACAAAAAGTTTAGATTGCTACATGCGGGCGTTAATTTTTACGGTCCAGTTTAGATCGAGCCTGGTGACTTGGGACGCCCTATATATATATATATATATATATTTATTTATTTATTTAGAACAGTTACCACAGCAGTCGCGTGCAGCGTTTGTAACTACTTTCGGATATATTCCTTGATGTTCGGGTATAATTTAGCAAAAGGTCCATTCCCGCGGGTCCCTGCAAGCGCGCGTCATCGCCACCACGCGATTACGACTCCTAATGAATGACCGCTCATCGAGGCCCGCCGAACTCGCCGAGTACTCGCCACGCACGTACCCGATGACGCACGGGCTCGATGGTCGGTTGGGTTCCGGGGGCCAAACCCCGGCCGTCGCCAGTGGACCGTGAGGCATCGTTTGGAAAGCCCTTCGCTTCCCCCGGCTTCCGACGGCCCTTCGACCGATCCCTTGGCGTCGAACGCCGGGATGAATGGCGACCATCTTGGATCGTGTCCTCATCTCTCACACCCGACTTTCAGGGTTCGTTGGATCCGAAGCGTGTTCCGCCGTAGCGATTGACCGCGCGTTTTGAGCCTGTCGCTCCCGTTTCTTCCATTTGCTCTGCCTTGCGTCGTGGCGCTCGCTGACATCGTATAAAAGCCGCAGGAGTGCCGCTCATACATCCTACGAAAGACACGGTGTTTCTTCGCGGATACGATAGAGAATTTGAGGGAACCGTTTGGGCACGTCCGATACGGTACGATCTGCGCATGCGCTGCCACAGAATTCTCGCACATGCGCAGTTCGTGCGAGACTTCTTTGGTAGCAGTTTACGCAGAACAACCGTAATGAATGATCGACTATCTCGCGGCCGCTGCTACTTGCTAAGTCCGACAATGCAAGAGGTGTTTTAAAGATCTAAAACAGTTTCTTCGCCGCACACTAGGTCAGTCATCGTGTCTCCTGAAAATTTCTAGGAAACGTTTTACGAGGAACTTAGCAGGACGGGTGAACAGATCTGACTGGAGCAGATATCCGACTGAAACAGACTATCTATGTTTCCGGTCTGTAGACATCGCTGTGATTCGTGAAAATGCGTATGGCTAAAGTGAGCAAGAAACGTTTGGATTAGATTAGCAGGATACGTTAGGAGCCAGCAAAACTCGTCGCCGGTTAGGATAAGCAGAGAAAAGAACGTCTACAGGTCGGAAAAAAATATTGTATTGGCCTGACGGGTGACCGAACTCACCTAATCGATTCTGGTGTCTGACATCACAGGTTCCGCACACTGAACCGAAGCAGATAACGAAAAAAAAAAAAACATATTGCGCTGCTTGATACTGACTTATGACATTAATTAGAAACCGTGTTTCGCCAGGAATTAAAAAAAAAAATATTCCAGTCTTTTAATAAACATCTTTATGTCAAAAGGACAAGCTGCGTGAATGAGAAAGATTCATGTGACGATAAAGATTATTCATTTAATTTCACACTCCGGTAAATCCGAACAATCTCTAAAGAAGTCCTCACAACCTGTTTTTATTTTTAATCAGCGAAACAAATCTTATTCCTACAGTGC